CTTCTTACCACACTCTGCTTCTCTACATCCCCCTGCTTTCTTTATACTCGGTTTGGTGTTCATGTCCTCGGGAGGCTCCCTTAGGGAGGAAGTTGGTGGCCTCCAGAAAGTTGTGGAAGTGTCTGAAGGCGCCTACAAGCCTCCTCAAAGCCCTCGCGAGGCCCGGAGTCCTTTGAGATACGGCAACACTGGTACTCTCTCGCTTCCTCTTCTGTGTCCTTCTTCCTAGTCTTCCTCGTTTCTCTTTCTTTCGCACTCGACTTCCCCCGACTTTCTCTTATCCACTTTCACCTATTGCCTCGCTTCAGTCCATGCCCTAGCCTTCACTCCTTTCCAGACCCTTCTGACATGAGTAAGCATCAGGAGAATGAGAGGGGGAGGTGAGAGGGACGAAGAACAGCTCTCTCCGTTACTTTCTCTCATCCGCTTTGACCCTCTCTGTCTATGACTTTCTCTTATCCACTTTCACCTATTGCCTCGCTTCAGTCCATGCCCTAGCCTTCACTCCTTTCCAACCCCTTCTGACATGAGCAAGCATCAGGAGAATGAGAGGAGGAGGTGAGAGGGACGAAGAACAGCTCTCTCCGCTACTTTCTCTCATCCGCTTTGACCCCTTCCCTTTCCTAGCTCCATGCGTGCCCTTTGCTAAGAGAAAAATAAGAGAGAAAAGAGAAGAACAGAGGAGACAGGGGCTTCCGCCCTTTCATTACGTAGCTTTGGCTTACGCTTCTTTCTTGTGAATCGTCCTTCTTCCTTCTGAGTGATAGAGGGAGAAGGACGGGAGGCAGGAAAGCCAGGAGGAGAAGGAATAGGGCAAGCGATTCTTTCCAAGCGAACATAATAGGCGGAGAGAAGCGGAAAAGGGAATGTGCAGAAGTAGACGGGAAGGGAGGGAGAGAGAAAGAGGGATCTGGAGAGAACAATGAAAAGGAGGATGGATGAGGTGATGAGAAAGAGTGCCCTTTGCATGCCCTGAACTCTCCGTTCCTTTCATTTCTCATTCCTTATGAAGATGAATAGGGTAAGAGAAGAGGAAGAAGGCGAAGGGCAAGGAAGTAAGAGAGGCGAGCGAAGGAGGAATTCTCCTTTCTTCTCCGAACCGTCTTCCCGCATCTTACCGCTTCCTTCCTGTTGTCTGCTCTTCTTTCCTGATGTCTTCGCAGAGCCTTTCCTCCTTCTTATCCTTTTCTTTCCTCTGGTCATTCAAAGAGGAAACGATGACGAGACGCGAACTGATTCTCCTTGCTCCTTCTTACCACACTCTGCTTCTCTACAATCCCCTGCTTTCTTTATACTCGGTTTGGTGTTCATGTCCTCGGGAGGCTCCCTTAGGGAGGAAGTTGGTGGCCTCCAGAAAGTTGTGGAAGTGCCTGAAGGCGCCTACAAGCCTCCTCAAAGCCCTCGCGAGGCCCGGAGTCCTTTGAGATACGGCAACGCTGGTACTCTCTCGCTTCCTCTTCTGTGTCCTTCTTCCTAGTCTTCCTCGTTTCTCTTTCTTTCGCACTCGACTTCCCCCGACTTTCTCTTATCCACTTTCACCTATTGCCTCGCTTCAGTCCATGCCCTAGCCTTCACTCCTTTCCAGACCCTTCTGACATGAGTAAGCATCAGGAGAATGAGAGGAGGAGGTGAGCTCTCATCCGCTTTGACCCCTTCCCTTTCCTAGCTCCATGCATGCCCTGCGCTAAGAGAAAAATAAGAGAGCAAAGAGGAAGAAGAGGAGAAAGGGGCTTCCGCCCTTTCAATACGTAGCTTTGGCTTACGCTTCTTCTGGCCACCCCTTGCCCCTTCCCTTATCTTCCTCTCTCTTCTTCCTCTGCTGGGCTTGAAGCTCTCCCTCGCGCTCTCTGTATCTCTCTTCTTTCTGTCATTTCTCAATCTCGTCTTTTCCCTTCTCCACTTTCCTTCCTGGTTCCCACTTTTCCGCCAGACAAGAAAATCAAAGAAAGGAGAGCGGGCGAGCGGTGGGAGAGGAAGGGCACAAGGTGAGTGAAGAGGAGAACACTTCTGCCTCGTCTCCCTCCACAAGCTCTTCCTGGTTTATCACCAATGAGACAGTGTGATAGGACAAGAACAAAGAATGAATAGACGTGGAGGTCAAGGCACTGTCGGCTGCTTTATGCATCGCCTCCTCTTTCTGTCTCTCTTTTTGATTATCTTTCCCCCTTATTTTCTCTCTTTGTTTCTGCATTTCGTCCCTTATGGCTCTCTCTCCGTTTCTTTTGTCTGTTTTCTTACTCCCTTGTCTTTCTCCTTGTGAGTCTTCCTTCTTCCTTCTGAGTGATAAGGGGAGAAGGACGGGAGGCAGGGAAGGGAGGAGGAGAAGGAACAGGGCAAGCGATGGGACAAAGAGAGTGAGAGAAACTTGAAGATAAGTATCAAATCAAGCATAATGTAGTAGGCGAGAGAAGTGGAAAAGTAAATGTGCAGAAGTAGAGAGGAAAGGATGGAGGGAGAGAGAGAGGGCGAGAGAGAGAGAGAGAGAGAGAGAGAGAGAGAGAGAGGGGGAGATGGACAACGCAATGAACACGATGAAGGAGGAGATTATGAGGAACAGTGTCACTTGCTCTCCCTGAGCTCTCCGTTCTTGTCGCTTCTCCTTCTAATTGTGAAGAAGGATAGGAGCAGAGAAAAGAAGGCAAGGGCCAAAAAATCAAAGAGCCGAGTGAGGGAGGAATCCACCTTCCTTCTCCCAACCATCTTCCTCCATCTTATGTCTTCGCTTCTGTTTTCGATTCCTTCCAGCAAGGGAGCAAGGAAAGAGGGGACAGAAGAGATGAGAGAGCGAGACACGGCAGAGAGGAAGACAGAGCGAGAAAAAGAGAGAGAGAGAGAGAGAGAGAGAGAGGCGGAAGAGAGACAACGCGAGAGGAAATGAAAAAACGAACCACGTCGAGAGGAACTGACGTCGTCCCTTTGCCCCTCCCTAGTGTTACCCCTGTCATTGACAGCAGAAGGCGACAAGAAAAGAAACAGAAAAAGGATCAATCAAAGGAAGGAGAGAAGGGAGAGACGAGAGAATGAAGAGTTCCCTTCGTCCATCTTCATGCCTATTCCTCTGTCATGACTTCAATTTCTGTGTCTTCTTGACAAACGGCAGAGTGGATAGGCAGGAAGAGGAACGGGAATGAGAGAAAGACACAGGACGAGAAATACACAAGACAGATTCTTGATGGTTTCCGGCGCGAGAGGGACGGGAGGACATTGTGATAGACTGTGATAGACCCTAAAACCAGCACGGAGAACTTGTGATAGCGTAAAACCATCTAAATCCTCATAAACTCCAAACCTTAGATCTTCCATAGTATACTGACCCCGGTAAACCATAGTTAGGAGCTAAGACCCTAGACCCTTAAACTCCTGTCGAGACCTTTGCACTGTACACGCTTCGGCCTCCCGATGTAACCGTCGTGCCAGACCTTGTCGTCGCCGTGTTGAACCCCGTCGTCGTCGTGCTAAACCGAGTCGTCGTCGTCCTTGTCGCCGTGGTGTTGTTGCAGTTTAAATACAAAGCCCAGCAGGATTGCCAAATAGACCCTAAAGGTCCATGCCACATACAATATATACTATATACATTTATTAATAATACCTATATACCTAGATACATGGATACTATGCTTAAATGTATAACATGATACATATATACATATAACAGATAGACAGATAAGACATATAGGACAAATATACAGGTAGACATGTAGACCTATAGACAATAAACATATATTACACATATACATTTACATATAGTAATATATTTACATATATACTATATACATTTATATACAATATATAAATATAACTATATGTAATATTATACATATTAATATAGAATATATACAAGAATTTACATATATACATTTATTTAATATAGATATATTATATATATATATATATATATATATATATATATATACCTACATATACATATACACATATGTATATATATATATATATATGTGTCTGTATCTGTATAAATGTGTATATAAATATATACATATATATATATATATTTCCAACGTTGCATCCTGCCTGTCGCCCGACTGCGCCAGACCCCAGACAGGCCACAGCAGACCACGTAAAAAAAAAGACCAAAAAAAAATAATAATAACTCCCCCCGGAAGAACTCTCAGGTGAGCTCGACATAACTCACTCCAGATGCACACAGATATTGAAGTTGAATCAGCAGAGTGAGGCTGAAACATTCCGAGGCGGGAACAATTCTCTCAATGGTGTTCAGACAGAATTCCCTGCTTTACACGAAGAAGTCATGGCCATCCATCAAAACACTGGAGGCCGAAGCAAGCAGATTCTCTTTTCTGAGGAGACAGCCACTGACCTTCCCACCTTGGGGACCCTTCCCGGTCCTCTTGTGGGATTTCCCCTGAGAGAATCTCTTTTTGAAATTTTCTGCCCTTCTCCCTCTTGAGCAACACATGCATAAATGCACAGAACTTCACCCAGACATGTAAAAAGGTTTCTGCCTAAACAAACACACTTTTGGTTTGTTTTCCAAACTCGTGATAAAACACTAACTCGCCCCTCGCACGTACTTGAAGGGGCGGGGTGTTTAGTAATCGAATACATGGTTTAGGAGATTTAGACAATCAGGTTAAGTTGAGTTACAAGTTCGTTAACATGAGTTATAAGTGCTGTATATATACTATGTTGTATGGACAACTTAGCAAGTCCGAGGCTTGAATTAAGAAGTGGAGCAAGCAGTTGAGTCACTTAGCCAAAAGCAGGGTGGAACTTATAAGTAAGATAGAACAAGTCTTTTAAGCAACTTGCCAAACTTAGATAACTTTGTGTAACTGATTTAGGTAAGTGGTGTAAGTTGTTTATTTGAAGTTGTTTTCCTGGCATTTGCAAAGCTTCAAACGGAAGCTTGCATGGAGATCTCCTGCCGCATGTATTCAGGATGCAATTGAAAATTGCATGGAAAGCTGCTGCATTGCATGTGTTGAGGACATGCTCGCATGCTTGCCTTCTGTGTATTGTGCATGACTCCATGCATTGCAGCCATCTATCGCCATTGCAGGGCCCTTGGCTCGCAGGCAGATTTTCAGCTCCGTCCTCCATCTCGCTTGCCCATCATGCCTTTGCAGTCGGATGTGCGAGAGCGGCTGCAGGCTTTCCTTCGAGAAGCCTCGGATGGCGACGGCCTTGTCCGAATCGTGGAGAACTGCTTGAACTACTTGAAGTCCAAGCATCTCTTGACCTCCATGAAGTTGGAGGCGAGCCTTGTGGGGATCCATACCTGCAACCGGGATGGGTACGGAGTGAATCCACAAGACGTTCGTGATCTTGTGGACTCGATTGTCGATGTGGGCTATGTCCCTACACGTGTGCATGCGGTCGGTGTCGAAGTCGAAGGAGACTGGGTCCGGCAGTGGAACAAGAAGCTGTTCGAGTCAGCCCACGGTCTTCTCGGAAGCCTTGAGCCGGAAGCGATCAAGATCACTTCGATCTGCGGATCACATACCAATTGCGCTTTGCGACTTTTTCAACAAGGTGCAAGCCACGGCAACGAGGTCGTGAGTGTGGGTGGAAAGCTCAGCATGGAGCTTCTTCGTGCTCGGGATGCTTCGTTCCACGAAGCAGCTGATCAAGGCCTGACGTGGGACGTGATCTCCTCCTCCGTGGCGGAAGAGTTCCCAGAGCTGATCAGCTTGATATCCCGGTCAGGCAACACATCGCTTCAACGAGGAGAACATGAGCTACAAGTACTCCGTCGCATCCATTCCACGTACTACCGCTTGCAGACTCAGACTGGCCAAGCACCGGCTTTTGCATCTCTGAAGACGTTGATATTGGCCAGCAAACCAAGCTGCCATGCCTCCGTACCCCACATGTTTACGTTTTGTCTGAAGGCTTCCGGGGGTGCCGATGCGAGCTTCCTTCAGGAGACGGAGTCCTTTGCGCGGGCTTACTGCCCTTCTTCTCGGCAATTGGGGCCTGTCCTGTGGGAGGCTTTCGGGCAAGATTGCCGAGGGCACCAGTCAGATCCCGTTGCAGCATTTCGCCATGCACTCATGAAGCAGGCATACTTGAGGCAGAATGTGACCATTGCTGATGTGAAGAAGATGACTTCTAAAGAACTCTTCCCCAAGGTCAAGGAAGCTGACAACATGATCCTCACGGTCAGGGGCATCTTAAGGGATGGAGCTCGCGATTTCATGACGGATTCGCGGGTCGTGCAAGCTCTGGCCACTATGGATATGACGATAGCATCGCACGTCCTCGGCATCAAGGTGCCGGACGAGAAAAAGTACAAAACAGTCCAAGCGATTGGGCACGATTTTTTGCTCGTGGCAAGAAACCTGATCGGTGTTGCACTCCCTTTGCCATGGGAGTCGGTGTCTGAGCAAAGTGAACCAGCTGCAACTGCAGCGACTGCTTCCCAGCCTTCTGCTGCAGGTGTGATGCTTGAGCTTGCTGAAGACGGCAGTATCAAGGAACCTGAGAAGATATTGGCCTCCAAGGGTTTCGCTATGGGTGCACACATCCGTCGCAAGGTTGACAAAATCGAGGGAGTTCTTTCAGAAGTGAAAGGTCAGATGGTCTTTGTGAAGATGGCTTCGGGAAAGACGGCCAAGGTGGATCTCAATGTTATCCTGGCTGGAGATTGGGTCGTGTTTGTTCCTCGTGTGCAGCCCACAATGCTAGACAGCTTGGACCAGTACCAGCACCATGTGGATTTTGATGCCAGCATTCTTGCATCGAAGATTCAGCTTGAGCTCTACAAGCTTCACCAGTCCATGGAGTGTGGATCGGAGCACCTGAAATTGCAGCTGAAGCCTTCGAGGATGTTGCTTGCCAACTCGGACATCAAGAAACTCTGCATGGTGCCCATGACCAACAAGGTCGTGCAGAAATCCCAGGGCCAAGGCAACACCATGTTTGAGGTGCAGACGGACTGGCAAGGAGACGACCGCAAGTTTTGGCTTTCCGGAGCCAACATTCTACCCAAAGATAACGACGACGACACTTGCAAACATGTGGTAGTTCCCTTTTGGTTGGTGCAGCACAGCCATCAGGAAGAGGATTGCAATGTGAAGCTTGTTTGGATTGCGGGAACAGAGAAGAGCATCAAGATTCCGGTTTTTAAGAACACCAAGAAGATCCCGGAAGGCAGCCCCATTGTGGCTTTCAGATCTAAAACGGTGCAGGTGGCTCCCTTGGAGGAAGTGGAGGACGACCACAAGACTTCGGCGCAGAAAAGAGCATCGGCGAGCTCAGGTGGCTCCAGCAAGAAGGCTCAGAAGAAGTGATGTTTCGGCATCCGTATGCAGTCCAGTGTGCTGCTATACCAGCAGCAGCCATTGCTTGAGCTTGCAGTATCTGAAAGATTCCATTGTATGTATATGTGAGGTCTGTTTCTAATGCATTGCGGAGAAGGATATGTACAATTGTTGCAGGTTGCAAGCATCCGAGGGGCATGGTTTTTATAGAGCGACCATTCATAGAGTGTTCTGTGCAGCTGCATGGTGCGAGGATCCCTCAGGTGTGCGAGCTTGTGCTTTGCGGATGGAAATGCAGTGCAGCTTTATATGCTTCTGTATGCAAGTGCAGGATGCATCGCCCGTGATGAAGTGCAGGTGCATTGTTGAAGTTGCTGCTTGCATGGATGTGTCGTTTTCGCCTAGGCAGGGCATGTGTGCTCGCCGGCAGAAAACAGCTCCAGCCTCGCATCAAACCATTTCCCCCGTGCATCGCATCATCATGGCTTGCTTCGAGATTGTGACGAAACAGGTTGTCGTGCTGGGTGACCGAAGCTGGATGCCAACCCAAAAGAGTGTCGACGACCGGGTCTTCTGTGCTGTCTCGAAATGGTCCCCGCAGCTTGTGAAAATGATCACAGGCAAACGACTGGACTTGCGGTCCGGCCAAGGGCAATCATCGGGGTCGCTGAACATAAAGCTCTTTGACGATTTGATCGAGAAGAGGCAGGCTGCTTGCGACAAGCTGCTGGAAGAGGCCCTGAGGGACGATGAAGCCGACGACGAGCCCAAGAAGAAGAAAAGCAAGAAGGATAAGGTGAAGGCTTTGGCCAAGCACGTGCACCTGTTGCCGGCGATCGTCGACATTACGATCGATGGCTTTCAGCTGTCGATCCTCAGCGAGGGCCTGTCTACCGGGAGCATCTTCGTGGAGATGCTCTCCGAAAATTTCAATTGGCTCATGGAGCAGGCGAATCGACAAATGCCTGTCGATCGGAAGAAAAGAAGGCACAGCTCCCGGGACAAGACCGATGCCAGCGAGGATTCCGACAAGGAGGCCAAGAAGGTTCCAGCGGCGAAAGCCAAGGGCAAGGCCAAGGCAAAAGCTAAGAGCCCGGCCCTGAAGAGCATCCTGAATGGCTCCCCGGCCAAGAACCCGGCCCCGAAGGGCATCGTTGGCTCCCCGGCCAAGGCCAAGAAGTGATTCTGCATGCAGTCTCGCATGTATCTTCCGTGCATCCATGCAATGTGTATACTTGATGTATAGTATGTATCAACACACCGTGAAAAAAAAAATATATATATATATACATATGTATATATTACTGTCAATGATGCAAACTCACAACGGCTCCACACTTTGATTGCCCGATGCTGTCTTTGGACAGACGACATCGACCGAAGCTCTCTGAACATTGGTGTCGTGTTTCTGCATGCACATTTGCCCTTGTTGCAGTGGGTGCCACGTCTGCGCCATGCTTGCTTTTTCAGCTCTTTTGGCTTGTGAAGCTGCCGTGGTTTTTGGGAGTGATGATGTCCTTTAGCTTCTTGTCGCGAAGCCTTCCCTCCGCTGTGGAGGTGGGGCCCCTGTACAACCACATGCACACACATGCCACCGCCCCAAAAATAACAGGCCGATGTGGTGGAGCGGCTGCAGCTCCACACGGACTTCTCGAAGTCCGGGAGGGGGAAATACAAGAATGATGAAGGCCGGTGCCCCCATGCAAGTGATATGGATATATAGCCTTTCATTTGGTTGCAATTGTTTTGCAGGCACCACGATTTCCTGGTCGGCCAAGATGGGGTGGAAGATCCTGTCTGTTGGAGGCTGCAGTTATATATAGTGTCTGCATGGAATCAAGTGAATTGGCTCGTGCACTCGTGCAGGTGACATGTACTTCAAGCACCCAGACGTGCAGGCCATGAACGTGCCTGCCAGCCCTGGTCCTAGGTGTTTTCTTAATTTGGGTAGAAGAAAACCGTTGTCGCCTAAGGCGGGTGGCTCTACTGGAACGACGATGTGGGAGATTTTAAAGCTTCTGTGATATGCCTGGAAGGCCGGGTATTTGAAGCTCAAGGAGTCCATATGTATATATCCATGTAGTTGCAGCATGCAGGCCACGAGGAGTCGGACACCGTGGAGGTGGACGTCGAGGATCCAGCGGCCGAGCCCAGCATGCCCGACATGTCATTGCAACTGCTTTTGCATGCTGCTCCATCGTACATATCTAGTGTGCCTGCTCGCCAGTTGTGCTGAAGCCGGCGAACAGCAAGAAGCAGCGCCCAGCGGAGCCGAAGGCGGAATTTCTTCGTAAGGCGATATAATGTACTTCTTGTTTGATTGCAGGAGCCGCCTCCGAAGAGGTACATGGACCCCGTGCCAAAGACCAAGGACAGCAAGCATATAGCTGTTCACTGTGTATATAATGCATGCTGCATCTGTGGCAGGCTTTGCCCTCGAACTGGGACGAAGGACTTCTTGTGGTTGTCTGGAGCCAGGCTTCTTTGCAAGTGTTTGTTGTCTGGATTGAGGAGATCTGATGCCGGACACGAAGGGCAAAGGGCACTACGTGAAGCCCAAGGCTTTTTCTTTGGGTCTGGCATGCACGACTGCACTTGTCTCTATACTGATGCAGTCTTCTTGGGCAGGTCGCTTTCATCGACGAGCACGGCCAGGCTTGCCTTGGTCTTTGTGATGGTGCTTCAGGTTTGCCTCTGCTTGCTGCTGGCCCCGTTGCAGGAGTGGGCGGCGGGCATGGGGAGAAAGAGGGCCCGGACACGTGGTGGCCAAGGTGTCCGGGCACTCCAGGCCCAAGGGGCCTTGGAGGAGTCCCGAAGCCACATGGAGGACCCTTGCTGCTTGCCAATCCACGAGAACAGCAAAGCTGAAGACACCGCGAGCCCCGACATGCAGGACTTGCGGGCCTCCCTCCACACCATGGGGGTCATGGCCGAGACGATGAACCTGCAAGAAAAGCGAGTCCGTTGAGGCCTGTGCTGTGACCGAGGAGCCTTTCTGTCCTGATGGTGTTGAAACTTATAATGCCTGGCAGGATCCCATGGTTCCTGCCTGGCACCCCTGGTTTGTGGCCTGGAGACCAGGGGAGCCGCTAATAGTTGGAAGCTCAGACCGCCTGTGTTGCTCTATATACGGCCTGGCCTGCTTGCTTGGATCCCAAGGTCCTGCATGCTGTGAGCAGCGAAGGACCTGAAATTGGGGGCATTTTCCGGCTCGCCGCTTCGGGCACAGAGGGTCAGGGCTACCAGTCCCGATGGCCGGGGTTTATGCATGCATAAAGCCCCTTAAGCAAAATAGACCGGAACTTTATGCATGCATATGGCTGGGTTCAGTTTCCTAGGGCGGGGCTTATGCATGCATAAACCTCGGCAGGGCCAAGGGCACAAACCTTTATGCATACATAAAGGTTTCGGGTTTTGGGGGTCAGGCCCCTTATGCATGCATAAAGGGTTGCTTTCCCAGTGCCCTCGTGGTTCCCTGTCCTCTGGCCTCTCTAGGCAATAAGTAGGAAAACTATATAGGTAAGAAATAGCTTTGGGCTGCAGAAGACGAATCGGCGAGGGGGCTATCTCCCCCTGTATAGCCGAGGCTTCGGTCGGGCTACCGGGGCCTCGTCCTGTGACTGTTTCACGACCACAGACCATATGGGCCAGTTTGAAGAAAAACCGCCCATCCTCCGAGTGTGCACCGTTTGGTCAGGCCCATGAGGCACACAGACCCCCATGGCAACATGTGTGTGTGTGTGTTTGTGTCTGCGACAAAGAGCAACAAACGAGGAGAGGGAGAGAGGGAGACAGAGACAGAGACAGAGAACGAGTGAGCGAGGGAAGGTACAAGGGGGTTGGTGGGAGGGGGGGTTGGCTGTGAAGGAAGAGACTGCTACATAGCAAAGTGGCTGCATGGATTTCACTGAAGTACATATACATACACAGTTTTACACACTCTGCATATATACCTATTACATGTGAGATGTGTATCTACCCCACACACACATACATATATATATATATATATATATGTATATATACACGATATGTATATATATATATATATATACATATACAGATACCAAAACATATCGTTCATATATTCTTATATACACATATATATATATATATACATACATATATGTGTATATATATTTATGTGTATATGAAATGGACTGAATCTCTGAACTTACATACACATATATTACACACTTGCATGCCTGCAGGTGTCGGTATACTGTAGTAACATGGCTGTGCTCTTGAGGGTGTCTACGGGTTCTGCTGGCGAGCTCAGAGCCCTGCCTGCGAAACCGAGACCCCTTTGGTGAAGAAGTCTTCCGGTCTGTGACTGCATGCAATGTGAAAGACGTCTCCAGTGGCAGGCTGCATGCTTGTGTGTTGCAAAGCACATGCACTCCATCATCTGCCTGCTGCCCGCTGCTGCTCTATATAGACAGGTGTTCGCAAGCAGGGCTACAGCAGCTCGCTTTGTGCAGAGCATCTGTGCTATATCCGGCCGTGCAATGGCAGCTGCTTTCCTTCGACAGCTGAACCAGCTCCTCCAGACCCAGCAGCCCATCATGGGAGATCAATGGACTTCTCTCTTGGCTGCTCAGAGCGAGGTCGCCATCAGAACGATTCGTCAAAGCCACATCACAGTCGAGGAGGGTGCAGAGATCTGCAGCTTGGTGCAGCAGGGCCTTTGGTCACACGAGCAGAAGCAGGCCCTGGGTGCAGCCGTCTCCCAGACCTTGGCAGGCAGCACTCCAGCAAATGCCAAGGCCAAGAAGAAGAACCAGGAAATTCTCAACTTCTGGGGTTTCTTGGGCGCCGAGGACCGGAGAGTTTTGTCCAGCGACGACACCCTCGTCATGAGGCTGACTCACACTGCTCAGATAATGGCTCGACTGGAGATGTTCTGGCCATCAGAACAGTCTGTGGGACACATCATCAAGACCCTGCAGAGTTGCAACAATACTGGCTTGCAGAGCCCCGACGAGTTCCATTCGGCTGTCGTGTGCCTCAAGAAGAAGGTGAAGACCATGCTCAAAGATGCTTCCTGTGGCGAGTTCGTCGCCAAGTACACTCGGCCTGAGGATCTTCCACCACACACCCGAGATCGCTTCGCAGATGCCTTGGGAGGTGAGCTGCCTGGAACAATGGTGCTGGCCCGTGATGCTCTTCGTGGCAGTAACAAAAGCCTCTCTTTCCACAAGAGCAACACTGCCATGGTGCTGGGTGGTCCAGCAGCAGGCCCGGCAATGCACATGCCCCACACCATGCAGGGTATGATGCAGTTCTGGGGCAGCATGGCAGCTAACATGTTCAACCAGCAGCAGCAATTGGCGAAGAAGAACGATGGATTGCCTGGGTTGAAAATCTTCGGCGACCCAGCTGCTGCCGCCTCGTCTGGGACGATGGCCTCCTCGCCTGCTCAACAGCAGGCCTTGCAGCTTCCTACAGTTACCAATGAACCGGCACAGGGCAGCGGAACAAAGCAGGCCGAGCAACAGGGAGTGCTGGCCAGCAAGGATCCTGTCAGTGCTGCACAACATGCAGATGAAATGCTTCAAGCTTGGAAGGGCGACAACAAAGGGTTCGACAGCACCGTCGAGGCCGAGGCCAAGGAAAACGAGGCGAAGCACAAGGCAAATAAGAAGCCCAAGGCTGCAGCCAAGGCCAAGGGTAAAGCCAAGGCCAAGGCTAAGGCGAAGGCCAAGTGCACGGCCATGAAGTCCCAGCCCAAAGCAAAGTCGCAGCCCAAGGCGAAGGCCAAGGCTGCTTGCAAGGCGAAGGCGAAGTCGCAGCCGAAGAAGGTCCAGAAGGCTTTGAAGAAGTTCACTCGAGAAGAGGTCCGATGCATGACTTTGTCGGCTCGCATCAAGCTGCGACCCAATGGGTGTGGCAAGTGCCGGAACAGGCCCGGCTGCACACCGTCGTGCTTTGGCCCGTGATTGCATCAACAGCTGCTGAAAGCATGCACAGCTGGAGTCCTATATAGGGTGAGAGTTTGGAGGCTACAGGCAGAGTGTATACATCTTAAGTCTATATGCATGTTGACGTGTTTTGGTGTCTTCCAGCATCAGCAAAGTTTTGTTCGCGAGCCTCCAGGAAGCATGCACCTTATTATTCATCTTTCACAAAGGCTGTGTGTACATTAAAGCCATTGTACCTCGGGAGGTATAATGTTGGGAGCATCGCTTGCCACGGAGGGAAAGACCGAAGCGATCCTGGCAGGTGTCAAAAGCGGTGGTGCAGGATGCCTGCACGATCCGGGTTTTTGTTTCGTGGCATATTATATATGTGTTATATACATATATATATATAGATATACTTTACATATGGGATGTATATATATATATATATATAGGAGCCTATATATACTTTATATATATATATATGGGTTGAATATATATTGATATATATATATATATATACACACACATATATTATACAGGGGTGTCCTTTTAGGAGGGTGCGAATGTGGACCCTTCTTCGAGAGCTATGTTGAAGCTTTCGAGTTGTACATGTATATATTATATATGGCTTTGCGATTTATTAAGATGTGTCTCAGGATCACGTTTGGTGTTAGGTTAGGTTTGGTGTGGTATATACTATATATATAACTGTATATACATGTATATATATGTGTACAAATCAATACTCGGATGCTATATATCTATAGCTTTCGGGTTTCTGTGTATACATATATATATATATCAAATATTTAGTTTCGGGTTTATGGTTAAAGGTTGTCTTGGCCTTGCACTGGAGTTTCCCGGACTGCTCGCAGTGGGGTTGCACCGTTGCAGCAATATGCTTGGAAACCTGCAGGAACAAAGAGCATGCATATATACATGTAAACAAAACATATCTCTGTATATATATATATATAGATATATAAGGTACGTACACAGTGCCTGCATGCTCCCATCCACTTTTCCTATATATAGTATACCTTTTATACAGATATACATATATATATATATGTATGAATCTGCAGTCAAAGTAGTGGGTCGCTCGGCAGGGCCAAGAGCTCGCCAGCAGACCCCATGGCTTCCGCCGGGAGCTCCTCGCTCTCCTGCTTGGGAAGGAAATCATATGTATCCCAGCGAGGTCTCAGTCAGGTCTTGCAGGAACTCAAAGAGCTGCCCGAGTTGCCATCTGGGACGAGTCGCCGAACACTGAAGCGGGCCCGGGATGAGAAGACTCGGAGCTACCAAACTGCTTATGGCGAGATCCTATGCGACTTCAAGTGTGTTGCCGAAACTGGTGTGGAGTTTGAATTTCCTGTCTTGAACCCAGCTGCAATGCTTGCCTGGGCGACAGAGCGATGTCGACCATTTGGCGAGTTCCTGGAGAGGGCCATGGATGCCACACCCCCCAGCATTCTTCAACCATGGGGATTGGTGTGGTATTCCGACGAGCTGGCTCCGGGCAACCAACTCAAGCACTCCAACCGGAGAAAGGTCCAGGCCGTATATTGGAGCCTGCTCCCTTTGGGACAGCATGCAATGGGTTGCGAAAATTGCTGGTTCACTCTCTGTGCCATTCGCAGCTCTCTGGTCGCAGATCTCGGCGGCATGACTGTGCTCTTCAGGCAGCTAGCAGCCTTGTTCTTTGAGAGACCTGACTTCAGAAAAGGTCTTGTGTTGCAGTGCCCTGGACAAGCACGTATGCTCTTTGCCGACTTGAAGATCATCATATCCGACGAAGCTGCAATTAAGGCTACCCTTTTCAATAAAGGAGCCAGTGGGCTCATATTCTGTGTTCAATGCCAAAACGCCGTGGACCACAAAAGCAGCATTGCTGAAAGGAGTCGGGGCAATATGGTGTCCGGCCTGGAAACCGACATGAGTTGCTTTCGGATGCACACACCCGAGTCTATACGAGACACCATGGACTTCTTGCGAAGGCAAGAGAGGGTCCTCAACAAAGACAGATTCCTGCAACTCCAAACAGCAATGGGGTTCAATTTCAAAGAGGATGGATTGCTGGCACATGCAGCATACGGGCCTCCGGTCATCGAGTGTGTGATGTTCGATTACTTCCATGTCTATTTAGTCAATGGCATCTTCAATGTTCTGACAGGGTTTTTTCTTGGAGAGCTTCACAACCATGGCTGGAAGCACAATGACATTGATCGCTTCGCAAATGGTTTTACCTGGCCTTCTCGTTTGCGAGGTGCTGCTGCAAAGGATATCTTGCAGAAGCGAAAGCCAAGCGAAACCTTGAAGTGTGGAGCCAGCGAGGCTCTGAACTTTATGCAGCTGCTGCGACTCTATGTGCTAGTCTTTGTGCTGCCAAATTGCAGCAGAGATATCCGGGACTCTTGCGAGGTTTGGTTGGCTTTGTGCAAGGTGATTGATGCTTTGCAAGCGATCAATGCCAAACCTTCAGCATTTACCCCCCTGCAGTTGCAGCAGCTCATCAAAAGGCATCTCGATCTGGCGAAAAGTCGGTATGGAGATGAGTGGTGGGTGCCAAAGTGTCACTTGGCAGGCCATTTGGCGCTGCAACTGGCCAAGCATCAGGTCCTCCTCAGCTGCTTTGTGCACGAAAGAAAACATAAAATCATCAAAAAAATTTCGAATGAAATTTTGGATACAAGCAGAACCTTTGAGAGGAGCATCCTACAAGATGTACTCCATGGTCACATGGAAAGTCTGGCAGAGGGTGTATACCTCCCAGGCCAAGGAGTTCGCTTGGTCGACCCTGTGAGACCAGCTCCCGCCAGATTGCAAACAGAGATACACAACACGATCCGGGTCCAGGGTGAAGTCTTCACAGCCAGGCAGGCAGTGCATGGAGGAAACTTCACCGTGGCTGTCGGCGACTTGGCCTTGATGGATCTGGATGGGGTCACTGCCGTAGGCAAAGTGGCTTATCATGTAATGTGCGAGAAAGTTGTATGGTCGCACATTACCTTCTGGACACATGTCCATGGCTGTATGTATGAAGTCTCCGACGATTGTGGCCTCGTGCAAACCCGACTGATCCGGGCCACATGCCCTTACAGCATTTCGGGCAATGCTGCCATTGTCGCAGTCCCGCAGGTGTAAAAAAGAGAACTGCATGCGAGCTTTAAAGCCCTGCATTGCGTCTCTGAGCAGCATGCTTCATGCAACATAGATCACTTAGCTCACTTATCTTTTTCATATAAATACACTTAGCTAACCAAGTTAACTTCAACATAGCTAAGTTCAATAACTACACTTACACATCTCATATAAGTCATTTGCTAACTGTGCCAAACAATTAACAACCTGCATATACAATTACTAACACCCCCGCCCCTTCAAGCAGGAGCCAGCGCCGAAGAACAACTTAAGAAGGACAGTCGATCGTAGAATGAAAGCCTTGCGCCGAAGGCTGATGGCAGGGTTCCGATACACCTTCCGGCGACCCTCACCAAAAGTGGCTCTTGCCTGTGCAATACGATAAGCAATTTCAGCTCGCAGGCCACCGCCAGGGGTCTGCTGGCATCCCAAGTGCCTATACGAGTCAACGACCGGCAAGAAGGCCGTAGGCCCCGACTCCACTAGTACGGGCACACGGCCGCGAAGGCCGGCAGCACCAAAAACGTCTCGGCGAGCTCTGCGGCTGCCGGGACCGGACACATTCAAGACAGCTGCTGTCTTACTAGGTGCAAAAGAAAGAGTGAAGCCGAATTCCTTAAGGGCATCGGAGAGACAACTTGCTTCCACACCAAGTGCACATGCTGCAAGAGAAGGTGTGGTAAGGCGGGGGATGGCAATGTCGTCAGCCCAAACCACTTCAGAAACCTCCAGGCGGTCCTTGTGGTCGTCACACGCCTGTAGGGACCGACATCCATCCCAAGGGAAGGAGGGTGGTTTCGAGACCGCCTTGCAGGCGTCGCGAAGCTCGTTACGGCGAGACAGGATCCTCTTAATAAGGGCTGCGAAAATGAGGTCGGCCCAAGAGGAGCCAGGTCTGGACCCTTTGGCAGTGGCAATTACCGTGGGGTCGCCTTTCAAGAAGAAGAAATTCCCTTCCTGGAGGCTGCAAGTGAGCGCCTCAAGCCAAGGGGACGCACCGCCTCTGGCCAAGGCAGATGGCTCGGCAAGATGGGAGGCGATGGCCACCCTCTCATCGGCGGGCAACCCAAGAGTGTCGAGGAAATATGAATACTAGTACTCATACTAATACTAATGCTAACCTAACTTGGGCCTCCAAGGCGAGGCGGCGGCTTCCGTGGAGCGCGCCGGGCGGCTCTTCGAGGCCCAGGGCTCTGATGCTACGGTTGATGATATAAATCCTGCATGACCTTACTTGGAGGCCCTTTTGACTTAGTAAGTCTACTTAGTATCCCCCAGAAACCCTATTATATTCCCTATAAGCCACCTTACTAACCCTACTTACTAAGTCAAAAGGGCCTCCAAGTACAGGGAACTCCAGAAAGTTGGAATATGGTTTCATGGTAGGATACCCTATAATTTACCATAGAAGGGTTAGGATAATCATATTCCAACTTTCTGGCTTTTACCTTAAGGACCCGAAACTATGGGAATTCTGGTATATTCCTTATTATGGGTAATGCAGGATTTATACCATCAACCGTAGCAGTCCTTACTTGGAGGATCCTGGTTTAGGGGTTTAGGGGTTCAGGGGTTTAGGGGTTTATGGGTTTAGGGGTTTAGGGTTTAGTGCTTTAGGGTTTATGATGCTGAAGACTTCCTTCCTTTGCGGTTCTATTAAGGGTTCCCATGGCTTGAGGGTTTAGGGTTCTGTAATGGGGTTCCCAAAAAAAATTGTCACGTTGTTTAGGCTTTTATTTTCTTACTTTTCGGTTTTTCAAAGAGTTCCTATGTACTTCAGGGTTCCTTAAAAGGTTCGGGTTTAGGGTTTAAGGGCTTCAGGGTTTAGGGTGTAGGCATCTTGTGCCGGTTCCTTTAAAAGGGTTCAAGCACAGCCTTCGCAGCCTTCGCAAGCCCAGCAGGGCCTGTGCCAACCTCGGCCCTTTCTCCCGTTGGGCTCAGGGCTGGGTACGCCGCCGCCAGCAGCTCGCCGAGGTGGCCGTTGGCTGGGAGAGGTACTATAGGGGCCTGAATAATCAGAAAAGGGTTCCTTTAAAGGGGTGCAAAAAGGAGCTACTTTTTGGTATAGGGGCCTTTAGATTTACCTTTCCTATTTGGGGGGGTTCCTTATGGTAATTCTCGTCAAATGTGCCCGACAACCCTATTCCAACTATGAAGGCCGCCTATAAAACTGTACCCTTATAGATACCTTGTAGTAGCCCCTTTAAAGGAACCCTATGGAACCCTATTCCAATTATGACGGCCCCTATATGATTGGGATTTTATTGGAGCTTTCTGAGTTTCCAGGGTGTCGCCTAAAGGGAACTCCAGAAAGTTGAAATATGGTTTCAGGGTAGGATACCCTATAATTTACCATAAAGGGCTTAGGGTAATCATATTCCAACTTTCTGGCTTTTACGTTAAATGTGGGAGTTTTCAGGCGTCTGCCAGACCAGGGTTTCACGCGATCTTAGGGTTTGCCTACACCGGTGCGTAATTCTGGATTTCCGGACTTCGATCCTTGGACCGTGAGAGGGCAGATCTTGCTTTCCGACCCCTACCTTGCTATAGCAAAAAGAAGTAAAACGAAATTTGATGGGTCTGATAGAGTAGTTTTATAAGCTTAGCAATCATGTTGGGAGTGGAACCGATATGGGAGTTTCCGAAAACAAGGGGCACCCTATTTTGGGGTCCTGACAATAAGGATCCTACCATTGTTCGGAAACTCCCCCATATCCCAGGCCCTGGATCCTAAACCCTGCATCAGCGATCATGGGCAGCCAGATTCCAGGTTAAAAGCATCCTCAGATCTCCCCGCCTCAGCCCCGAAAACACTCCCAGATCCGTCAACCCTTCAGCGATCCTAAATCTCAACCCTAACCCCTCTAACACCCCTAAATTCCCTAATCCCAAACCCCCAACCATAACCCTAAGGCACAAAGAAGCCCCTGAAGCCTCAACCTTGGCTCTCTTGTCCTGCGCAGGTTCTTCCAGAGCTGTCGGTGAAGATGGAGCACTGCCGAAACCGGGCAAAGGACGACTCATTTGGGAGTTTCCGAAAATTAGGGGTACCTTGTTTGGCGGCCCTTCTTATAAGGATCCTACTATTTAGGGTACTATAATAGGGTTCCCCAGTTTCGGAAACTCCCATTTCTTTGCAATACAAGGGTCGGACTGATTGGTAAAAGTCTTCCCTTATTGCCAAATTGTCCCGAAAGCAGTTGTGGTATAGCCGATCCCGTAACCCTATCCTAGTTACTGTAAGTCTAGGTTATGAAGCCACTACATTGGGGTCTGGGGTTTGGTATGTTTCAGAACTTGGTGTGTGTGTGTGTGTGTTTGGTTCTGGTGCTGGCTTTGCTCCAACATGTTTCGACTTCGATTTCCCTGGGTGATGAGGAAGGCAACTCTACGACTGCTAGTCATTCGTCGTTATCGTTATTGCCGTGCAAGAGTTGATTAGTTGCTAGTATATGACGGATTATCCCAGGATTGGTAAGGAATCGTTTCGCTACCGCAATCGCTCAGCAGATCCAGCTTTTAGAGCTGCAGAGTTTTCGGTTTTATGGTTGCGCTCCGTGCCCACCCTGCTTCAAGGGAGGTCCCCTCCCCAAACAGTATGACCAGATTCGCGACAAGACCTAAACAAGATCATATGCTTTACTCTAGGCCATCGGCACAAAACCTGCCAACCTACAAAAGGAATCCCAGATAGGATTTCGCGGACTCGGCCGCTGAGAACGCACTTCGCGCACTGAAGGCGCGCGTGGACGAGGCCAGAATCAAGGGTGCATGTATTTTTAGTAGGCAACCTAGAACTGTAGGGGGTATATGAAGTTGGGTTTCTGTTAGGGATTTTGCCAGCTACGGGCCTCCTTGGGCACATCACGGAGATACTGGTTAAGTTGGATTAATGAACAAAGCTTGCATCAGAATTATGCAGTGCTACTTGTTGCCTGCGAACTCAGCCGTTTGACTTCCCATGAAACTTGATCATGAAAGTGCTCGGCCTTACAAGATTTCCAAGACCGTATACAAAGCCCGCCAAAAGCCTCATGCGGAGACTTTAACGAGCAATGAACTCCAAAGTTTGTCGTACTTTCCCATGCCCGAAACCCTACTAGCCTTGCCACTCCACAAACCCTAATACAGCAGGCAGTTAGCCCCAAACACTCTCCTTCCTGGCCTTGACAAAGAGGCTCAGACCCTGCCCTTTTCGCCCGGCACCTTCTAAGCCCTAACGTCCAAACCCTAAACTAAACCCCAAACCCTAAACCCCTAACCCCTAAACCCTAAACCTCTAAATCCCCTTAAACCCTAAACCTTTCAAGCCCCGGACCTCGAATCCCTCAAATCCTAGGACCTAGAGTAGGCCCTTATTCCTAAACTCTAAACAGTCTGTACCCTAGACCCTAAACCCTTACAAACCCTAACCCTAAACCGAACCCCTAAACCCTAAGGCTTGATCCCTCAAATCCCAGGAGGCCGAAGCAGAGGAGGAAGCCGAGCAAGAGGAGGAGATGGCTGAGGCCAAGGGCTGCCAGGGTTCCTTTGAAAGGGCTCCTTAAAGGGATCTATAAGGCCACTTAAAAGGTATCTATAGGGTTTAGGGTCTACTTGGGGATTAGGGTTTAAGGTGGTTTAGGGGTGTAGGATTCGAACAGGGTTCGTTTTAACGGGTTCTTACTGGGATCTACAGTAGAAGCCTAAAAGTTGGAAACCCAGTAGCCTCAATCCTTCAGAGTAATGTAGGGAATCCCAGCACTATTTAGCCTTGATCCGGTTTCCAACTTTATGGGGTTTGCTACATAAGGCCCCTTAAAGGAATCTATAGGGTTTAGGGTTTAGAGTCTACTTGGTGGATCATGAGGCCCAGGGCTGCATGTTCGGAGGACCCTGGGACTTAGTAAGTAAGGTTCCTTAAAAGGGCGCCTTAAAGGGATCCAAAAGGTTCCTTACTTGGAGGCCCTTTTGACTTAGTAAGTAGGGTTAGTAAGGTGGGTTATGGGGATTATAATGGGGTTTCTAGGGGATACTAAGTAGACTTACTAAGTCAAAAGGGCCTCCAAGTAGAGGGACCTATAGGACTTGGAGGATCATGGGACTTAGTAAGTAACGTTAGAAAGTATCTGAATTGGGGTTATAAGTAAGTATATGTATAGTTACCTTTTAAGTATTGTTACCTTATTTATAACCGCCCTCCCACTTACAGGGGTTCCTTTAAAGGTTCCTTGGGGTTTAGGGGTCCTTTAAAGGGTACCATCAGGCTTCCTTCAAGGGATCTCCAGGGTTTGATTGGGGGTTTAGAGTTTAGGGTGGTTTAGGGGTGTACGATTCGAACAGGGTTCCTTTTAAAGGGTGCTTAAAAAAGGATCTATAAGGGTTACTCTCATGGCTACTATAAGGGTTGCATGCCCTCCCACTTACATAGATTATGCGCTACTAACCCGCTATCTCTCTTTCTCTATCTATATATATATATATATATACACATACACACAGACCTATAACCCCCCACCAAGCTCTCCCTCTCTCTCTCTCTCTCTCTCTCTCTCTCTCTCTCTCTCTCTCAATATGTTTATATATGCACCCACCTACATGCTCACATGCATACATGCATGACATACATACATTGTAGATATGTATACACGCACAGAGGTGCACACACATACATATGTGTGTGTGCATATGTGTATGTATGTATGTATGTATGTATGTATGTATGCACGTATGTATATACATTTTTATATACACGTGTGTACATGTAGTAATCTCTGGGATCCGGGGACTTCGCTTGAAAGTCAGATCATTACCATCCCTGGGGATTGGGGGACGGGGCAGTAGACCCTGTAAGCCACTTTAAATCCCAAGCACAACCCCGTATGGTAAACCTTGCTTAGTACAAGACGTTCACAGCAGCGCACTGAAAAGACCGTAAACATGACCCTCAATACAGCCCTGAAAGTTACTTGTTTGCAGTCCCCACAGGAAGCTCTTAGCAACCCTAGAAAGAAGTCCTCTTCGCGTTTCTCAGTGCCCTACACCCTAGACCCTGAACCCATCCCATCTTAAACCACAAACCCTAAACTCCTAAGCCTAAGCCCCTACACCCATCTAGACCCTAACCCCTAAACCCGTCAAAACCCTATAAGCTCCTAAACCCTATAGATCCCCTGAAGGAGCCCTTACAGTACTCTTCAAAAGGAACCCCCAAGCCCCAAACCCTAAAAGCCTAAACCCCTCAACCTTAAAGGATCCCTTTAAAGGAACCCTACGCCTTATAGATCCCGTAAAGGAGCCCTTATAGTACCCTATAGATCCCCATTAACTACTATAGTCTACTTAGAAATTATTTTGTCTTTTTGTTCATATAAAACCCAAGACAAGATTAAACATATTATTTCTATTATGGTTCTAAGGGGGGGTGTAGACTAAACCCCTAAACCTTAACGGATCCCTATAGATCCCGTAAAGGAGCCCTTGTAGTAACCCTGTAGATCCCCACTGACTAAACCCTAAACCCTAAACCACTTTAAAAAAAACCCTCTGACTGCAGGGCCAGGCAAATTTCGAAGCGATAGGCGAGGCGCAGTCTGATTTCAATCAGTGGGCCCAGGACGCCGCTTTAAGGGATCTCCTTTAGAAGCTGCCCCCACCCAGTAATAGTGGCTATAAGGATTATATTAGGGCCCTATTATATTATACCACTATTACAGGGTCCTAAACCCTGAACCCTAAACCCTAAACCCCAAACCCCTAAACCCTAAACCTGTTCAGGGTTTAGGGTTCAGGGTTAGGGGATCTCCGATCTCCCCCCTTTGTTTTGGGGGGGTTATATAGTTGTTTATAGTTTTTTTGTTTGGGGGGGGGTTAGGGTGTTTAGGGCTTACAGGGGGGTTACAGTGGTTTATAGCCACCCACTCAGGGTCCTTAAATTGCTGAAACTCATATTCCTTGCAACGTATTGGGGGCTTTAGGGGTTAAGGGTTTAGGTACGTCGGGGGATCAGGGCCTAGGTGCTGTAGAGGGTGAAGTGATGATGTCCTATTTTTAACATGTCTTCGCCAGTGTCACTTAGTGATCGGCACGTTCCCAGCAAGCTGATACTCGTTGAGCAAAGTCATCCACAGAAGGGTTTTTGTCCGGGCCGACCACTGAAAGATGTTCTATACATGTCTCGACCCCTTCCACCCTGAACTAATGCATAGATCTGAAGATGTTTAACTACCCCCCCAAAAAAAAAAATCCAATTCAAATGGTTCATGCCCGTTAGCTAATATAGGGGCCTAAATAATTACCAATACTGTTTTGGGGTTCGATATTAATTATATCCATAGTATAATGGGCCCAAAACCCTAGTCTAATTTCTAAGGCTCCTATATTACACCCTAAGCCCGGAACCGCAGTCCAGCTGCGCCTCTGCGATTCAAGGAGGAAGATGCGCATCAGCATCAGAACCCGAGCTACCTTGCCGCTGGGACGCACGGTTTAGAGGCCTATGGCGTTTATAGTGTCTGAGGCTTAAGGCTTAAGGCTCAAATGGCCACTGGGGCTTGGGCATGTCAGCTTCGTTTTCAGTTTGAATGGCCCGAACTGATTAGGCTTCGATGTCCTCGTGAGCACTGCGCGACTTGCAAAGCAGGTTCCCTGGGAGAGAAAACGAGCTTGAGCTGGGTCTAGGGTTGGAGTTTAAGATTTAGGGTTTAGGGTTCAGAGTTTAGGGCTTAGGATTTAGGGTTTAGGACCGTTTCAAAGGAACACTGCAAGTTGCGGTCTGCTGCCAGTTCTGTGGTGCACAGCAGACGATTCCGGCATGCTTCGAGCGAGCCCATGAACAGGGGGTCATTAATGTGGGAGATTCCGAAAATTGGGGGTACCTTATTTGGGGGTCCTTAGAATAAGGATCCTACTATTTAGGGTACAATATTAGGGTCCCCTATTTCCGAAAACTCCCATGTGATATACGTTGTGTTCTTTTTTGAAAAGGTAGTGGACTCTGTGGAAAGCCTGAAAGCCTTTCACACGCGAACCAAATCGCGAACACTCTCATGGACCCCGTGTATGGTACAAAGACCCATAAAAGCTTTCCAAAGCCATTTCCGGACCCTATAAACTTCTGGGAGTACGATGTGGCACCCTCATAAAACCCTACCTCAGCCTTCGTACTAAACCTTTCTAAACCTCCGCACAAAGCCTTAAACCCTAGCTAAGTCCTGAAACCATCTTAAACCCTAAACTCCTAAATCCTTAAACCCTAAGCCTAAAATCCTAAAGAACTAAATCCTCAACGGCGGAAACCCCAAACCTTGAAACCGAGACCCTGAATCCTTTAACCCTGGACCGTAACCCCCCCGCCAAAGAACCTTCTATCTTGACTCCTGACTAAAGCCTTACACCCTATACCCCAGACCCTACATTCTTACACCCTGCAAAACCCTGAAATCTTCAAATCCTAAACCCTGATATAGGGGCCTAACCAATTGCCTATACTATGTCGCGGGTTCCTTTAATGATCTAATCTTCGTATGGTTTAAGGCCCCTATGGTCAATGCCACCAAAACCCCTTTCACTGAGGACCCAAAACCCAAAACCCCCCCATAAACCCTAAACCCCAAACCCCCAAACCCTAAACCCCCATAAACCCTAAACCCCAAACCCCCAAACCCTCACCCCTGAGTCTCCCAAAAAAGGAAGATGGCTTAGATCATAGGGGGCTCTTAACATTATGATTTTAAAGCTAGGTTCCTTAAGGGTATCGGAAACCCTAATCCCTGTAATTAGATCCCTTAGAGATCCCTTTTAGACCCCTTTTAAAGGAACCCTATAGGTTTATTCCTTAATTAAGGGGTGTTGGGCTCTCTGTGCCTCTCGCTGAGGACCAGGCCGCCTTCCTCTCCCGCAAGCCCGGTCAGGCAACGCGCCAGGCCAGCACGTAATGTAGGGGCTCAAGTAATTACCTATAGGATCTATAATGTTTGGGGGGTTCCTTTGAAGGGATCCTTAAGGCATCCTCGAAGGGTACCATGGGCGCCAAAATAATTACCAATACTATTTTGAGGTTTAGGATTTACCAATACTATTTTGAGGTTTCTTATTATAATTATAGTGTAATATACCCCCAAACCGTGTTCCAAATCTTAAGACCCGTATAGTACATGCGGGGCACTCTTAGAATTTGCCCCGAACAGCCATCGACTTAGCCTGAGAAGAGGGCTATCGGAGTGTACTGATATGGGGACAAAGTGGACATCATGATTGAACATTCTGACATTGATGTCGAACCCGATTTGAAGCCTCATGGGCTGCTGTAAGTACTTGGAGGCCCTTTTGACTTAGTAAGTAGGGTTAGTAAGGTGGGTTATGGGGATTATAATGGGGTTTCTAGGGGATACTAAGTAGACTTCCTAAGTCAACAGGGCCTCCAAGTAGGTTGTAAGTATGTAGATTCGGGTTGCAAGCAACTACAACTACCACACCTTACTTGTAACCCTATTGTATTACGGCACACGAGCTTTCTAACACCCCTAGCAAACTCTCCAACACCCCTTACAGAACCCTGTTCAGGCAAAACTTTGTAAAACCTTTAGAAAAGCACCTTGAAAACCAACAATATTCCCCCCCGAAAAGCCTTTGACCAAAAGTCACAAAAAGCCTTATGCAGATAGCTATGAAGGACATACTTCGTCGAATCCAAGAGTGTTGGAGCCCTTGAGGAGGCCGCAGCTTCGCCAGCGTCGGCCTTCCAGGCAAGGCTGCGCTTTAGGGTTTCGGGTTCCTTTAAGGGGATCCATAAGGGTTCCTTTAAAGGGGTCTATAGGGTTCAGGGTTTGGTTTTTAGGGTTTTAGGGTTTTAAGGGGCTTTAGGGTTTCGGGTTTAGGGACTGGTTCCTTCATTCGGGTTGAGGCTTACCGGTTTAAGGTTGAGGGTTGCATGGGTTCTTTCGTACTAGATGCAACTCGGGTTAGTCTCAACACCCGTTTCACAACTAATGTAGACCCTCTGAGTAGTAAATCCCCCCCCCCAGTCTTCAAGGGCCTTATTTGATTCATCATCTACACTACTCCCGGATTCCCCTGATCCATTACATGTCCATGCCTCAGCGCTGTTAGCGAAGCCCGAAAAGGCACGAGCTTTTGTGTTTTGCAGTGGGTGTCTGCCAGGCCTTCCCACCAGGACAGAATCCTCAACAGCTTGCGCAAGCCGGAGTCTTGGTTCTTCTGAGGCGGATTCTTTGTTTAGTCATTTTTTTGCGCTATTTCGTCATTTCGTTTGTTGTTTCGTTCTTTCTTTCTCTCTCTCTCTCTCTCGCTCTTTTGTTGTTTCCTTGTTGCTTCCTTTCGTTTGTTAGTTCTTTCGTTTGCTCTGTCTTGCATTCATTCGTTCTATCGGAGTTCTGGCGTTATCTATTTCTTTCGTTCTTTCTTTCTCTACGTAGAGCCATATATATATATATATATATATATATATATATATGTATATATATATATATGTACACATACAAACACATACACGGTGTATAGACGCATACATATGTACCGGCACATGCATGTGCTGGAAAGCTAGGCAGAAGGTCTGGCTGGCTGTTTCAAGGACGGCAATTCCACACTGTGGTGCTCGAAATTAACGTGCATCGGAATTGAGGAAACCACAGGACACTTCAACCGAGCTTGAGGGGTTTAGGGTTTGGGGTTGAGGGGTTTGGGGGCTTAGGGGTTTGGGGTTTAGGGGTTTAGAGTCTAGGGGGTTAGGGTTCATGTACACCCCTTGGGCCCATGATCCTCAGCAGCGGGACCGATGTGCCATCGTAACATGTCTTATGTCTTCTTCTGGCTAGCCCAAACCCTAAATGCTGGACCCCACACACTGCAACCCACGACCCCAAACCCAAAAAGCCCTAAACTCTGAACCCCTACACCGCTAAACCCATAAACCCTAAACCCTAACTTCGAGCCAAAGGCCATGGGCCAAATCTGGGGCAAAGGCGGAGGAGCAGGCGCCCCCTGCAGCTTCTCAGTTCTCAGAGACGACGGGATTCCTTCTTGGGGGGGATCATGGGACTTAGTAAGTAGGCTTTGTCATAGTTGGGTAACATTTTACATGTTTATGGGTACTTACACCCAATAAGGAATAAACATTTAAATTTCTAATCCTATCCCAACCATGAGCTAGTAAGGTTCCTTGAAAGGGCCCCTTAAAGGGATCTATGGGGTTCCTTAAGAGACTCCTTAAAGGGATCTATAGGGCTCCTCAAGGGGATCTATAGGGCTCCTCAAAGGGATCTCGAGTGTTAAGGGTTTAAGGTCTACTGGGAGGACCATGGGACTTAGTAAGCAAGGTGATGCAAAATTCGGTAACTATGTTTATAACTACTTTTAACCCGCAATTAAGGCACTTATAACCTCACATACTAAGTCCCATGATCCTCCAAGTACTTCAGGGTTGTTCTTAGAACCACAGTGAGAAACTCTCTATAGTTTCAGGCAAATTTTTGAATGAGCCGTCCGCTTACCTTGCAGTGTGGAGACAGGGGGAGAGCCCATACCCTAAGCTTGATAAGTCTATATGCTAGTAAAGGTAGAGCTGCAGTACAAGTATTGAACAGCAGTTCAAGTGGATACAGAGACATGCGCACACAAGATGTATATCTACACATGTAGGTACATGTTTACATACACTCAGAATCACTCAGAGATGCATAAGCGGTATGCCAGAAAACCAAAGCCCTAAACCTTAAACCCTAAATCAAGTCTCTGAAGCCCTAGACCCTAAAGCCTAAACCCTGAATCAGCAGTTCGAAAAGAGCCCCCCCCCACCCCCCCGCCTCTCCAACAAAAAAAACGAATCATGCCTTTGACGAATTCAACCTGGAAACCCATGCCTGGAGCCCCAAAACACACAAGCCCTCAACCCCAAACCCTTGCTACACACGACGACTTATCTAGGGTTGAGGGTATAGGGCCTACCCAGACCCATCTACAAAGTAGATCCCCTAATTTGGGACCCTATACTACTAAGGGTACTTTATGGGAACCCCCATTAAGGGATCTACTTTCTAGATCCTCCCGGGGGTCTGGGTAAATGACTAAAGACGCCAAAGCATAAGCAGCCATCGCATTCTAGTCTAAGTAGTAATGTGGTTTTAGATATGGGCACAACTCCTTTCTAAAGCAGGCGAATTCCAAGAGCGCGGGCCCCTAAAACCCTTAAGCCGTCACCCCCTCAATCCCTAAACCTAAACCCTGAAACTCTCATGAACCCTCAACGCCCTGAACTTTTCAATGCCTTCCCTAAACCCCGAAACCCCCAAACCCTCACCCCCCGAACCCCTAAACTCTTAACCACCCTGAATCCCTGAAATCCTCACCCCTTCCCTAAACGCCTTGAGCCACAAACCGCGCAGGCCCCGAGACGCTCCACGGGCCGCCGATGACCCCGGAGGCGGAGAAAATCCAGGAAGCCGAGGAGCCCAACCCCAGTCAGCAGGAGGCCGGGTTCCTCTTGGGCTGCACTTCCTTTACAGGGATCCATAAGGGTTCCTTAAAAGGGGTCTATAGGGGTTCCTTGAAAGGTATAGGGTTTCTAGGGGTTAGGGTTTCGGGTTGAGGGTTGGGGGGTTAGGGTTTGAGGTTTAGGGTTTGGGGTTTCTATAGTTTTGGGGTTTAGGGTTTGGGGTTTCTATGGTTTTGGGGTTTAGGGTTTGAGGTTTCTACGGTTTTGGAGCGCTTCGAACGGGTTCTTGATGGGGACTATTTAGCGCACGAGAGGCGACTTTTCAGGAACTTCTGGAGTATTGGGAATACAAGCAGCGGAAACCGTTAGGCAATTTCCATAGGAGGCCAAAAGGGGTTTTAGCCTATGGGGGTTTAGTAGGGATTAGGGTTCCCATCATAGGGTTCATATTAAGGAATCCCTACCCCAAGAATCTTAAACCACTTTTTTGGCCTCCCAACACTGCCCTGTGCAACCTTGCTCGCAGAAGCCTGTCAAGGGACCCTTACAGGAACCCCTCTTCATTCGGCTCGCCTGTAAAGACGACTAGAACCACCTTCCTACCAATACTTGTCGCAAAACCCTGTTGATATGAATGTGCGTGTATATATATATATATGCATCGACTTGTACATATACTTCTACATAGATGCATACGTAGATGTGTACATGTATGTCGTTTTTTCTGCCTTTATCTTCATTGACTTTCTATATTGCTTAGCGTGTGGGTGCCGGGCTTCGTCAGGCCCTCGAAGCTCAAGAGGAAGAGGAGGCGCTGGCAGCGCTTGGGGTTGGGCGGGATTATATACAATTTGTACATACACGCATACATATACATATAGTATACTAAAGTATATTTTATCATTTTGTAGAATGCTTTCGTACCTGATAGTACATTTTAGGATTTTATAGCATATGATCGTACATAGTAGTGTTTCCTGTGCATCTTAGAATCTTGCAAAGAGATAACCAAAGGAACCGTTATGGTAATGATAGCAGACCCTATAATCCTAAGTAGGACGCGTAGCATACTCTGAAACAGAACTCTTAGCTGGTGGTTCCGACGCAAGTAGCAAAAACCGTAAACGGCACCGGATATCTCTTGGGAGCCTTTATACTATAAACCTAGCGAGGAGCACCATGGAAAGGATTTAGGGTTGAGGCCCTGACAACGAACCCTGGAACCCTGAAAGGAGCCTCCTTTCAAATACTCGCAACCAAACCCTCTCCAACCCTGAAGCGTTAAACCCCCAAAACCTGACGACCCCCATCCCAAAACCCCCTAAATAGGGGTTTGGGGTTCAGGGTAACCCCCAAAAGCCTGAGGACCCCCCTAAACTTGAAACCCTATAGACCCTAAGTGGCCCATGTGGTCTTTCGTCGACGGCTTGCACCCTAGGCAGAAAAGGGAGCTCAACAAGAACAAAAAATCCCAAGCGGCAGACTACTTGGAGGGTCGGGGGACTTAGTAAGTAGGTAGTAAGTAGACATATAAGTACCCTAAAAGAGACCCTAATTGGGGTTATGGTACTTATAAGTCCCTAAAATAACCAGTTACTAAGTCCCCCGACCCTCCAAGTATGGGAACCTCGCCTCAGGAAGTCCTGCAGGCAGAGGACGTGGAAAACTTCGGGGCCTGGAGCCCTACTTAAAGGATCATGGGACTTAGTAACTGGGGTTATAAATAATGTAACTCTAATTATAAGTACTTATAACCACAATTAAGGCGCTTATAACCCTACTTACTAAGTCCCATGATACTCCAAGTAAGGTCGAGGGTGCTTTCGCGCGCGGGTGCGGGTGTGAGGTTGGGGCTATCGGGTGTTGTAGCTTTACTGTAGGTGCCTTAGTAATTAGAATAGGGGTTCCTTTGAGGGTTCCTTGTAAAGGGGTCTATAGGGGTTAGTGTTTGTGTGTGTGTGCGTGTGTGTGTTGAACTAGTTGGGTTTTGTTCGGACTTTCGAGTTCTTTTAAAGGATTTGTTCAGGCTGTAGTTTCCATTTTAAGGGTTAGTATACAGTAGGTTCTTAGGTCCTTGCGAGATTGTCCAGACTTGCACGGGGTTTCCGACTTTATTGGAAGCTTTCATAGGTGCCTGATCTTATAATGGTTCTTTGATGTGGTGCTTACAGGGTTTTACTCGGTCTGGAAAAATTGTGTAGCGTTTCTGGAGGGTTATGTAGCAGGGTCTTCGCCAGCGCTGTAAACTTGAAACTCACGTCCGGAGTGTGCCACCTTTCGCATTCAGAGCTTGGCCCCTAAAACCTAAGCCCTTGTTTGCTTGTAGCTGCTGACCTAGGGGCAGGTGCAAAAATGAGATCAACAACAGAGGTGTATTTTTTGAGGTGAGGGCTACTGGACGACTCCGGGAAGTCTCAGCCTACCAACCTTTCAAAACCCTATAAACCCTAAACCCCTGAACCCTAAACCCTAAACCTGAGCCTTCACGGAGACTGCGCTTCCGGGAACCTAGATATCTGTATACCTGTATGTCTATATGTCTGGCATGTCTCGTCTTAGAGGCGTGAAAGCCCTGCATCAAAGTACCAAAACCTAGCTTTTTTGTATTGTCCCGATAAGCTTCTATTTGGGTTTATAACACGAACCTACAAAGAAGTATGTTATGGTCCTATAACGTAGACTCTGAACTGCACCCTCTACCCTACTTCCCCCAAAAAACGTAGACTGCGCTTAGGACTAAAAACGTAGACTGCGCTTAGGACTTCTTCCGCGAATGCGGAGAGTCGCGACCTTGGAGAAGCTCTGTTCGGGATTCGGCGAGATTTAGGTTTTGACTCTTGGGGTTAGGGTTTAGGGCTTTGAGGTTAGACTATTTGGGTTTATGTCGAGACTCTTGGGGTTTACGCTATAAGGGTTTGAAACAGACTTCGAAGTTTAGAGTTGCACGTTTGTAATCTTGTTGCCAATATATAGTTGTTAGATGAGGGCCGTCGGACTCAGCATGTGGCCGGAACCCCGCAAGACCCAGGCCTCTCAGGAAATCTTAACCTGCGGAAGACCAGAACGCACAAGGGTATAAGGTTTAGGGTTTAGGGTAGAGGAAAGCTGCTGGAAGAAAGCGAAGTCCATGAGTAGTGTACAGGAATTGTGCTCAGGTTTCGCATTCCTGCCACTGTCCTCGCCGCACGTCGTGCCGCCAACGAAGCCTACTGGGCACTCCGACATGCATTTGAAAGGGGTCACTGAGTAAGGAGCCTGTTTTCAAGGTGATTGCTTGAACCTTGGGTGGGTAGCGCAGGAACCTGATTAAGAAACCCTGGGCCCAGAACCCCAAAATAGTAGGATTCATATAAGGAACCCCTATAAAGGCCCAAGGTTTCTTAATCAGGTGCCTGCATTAACCTGTATGCCTCCTGGGGATGCTGGCATAGCGATTCGTACATCCCGTCTCGCGCAGTGATATGGAGGTTTCCAGACACAAGGAGTGGCTTTTTCGCACAACAAGGATCTTAGGGTCTACGCTTGGGCTTTGTATTGTCTATATGCCGATCCCGTCAGCCCAGCAGAGTCTTTCCTAAGGGTCCACAGGACCCAATAGTTAGGTAATCGGGTTTAGGATAGAAGTTATGTAGGTTAGTATTCGAGAGGGTATACTAGTATACGCTCCTGAATACTAACCTACATAACTTCTATCCTAAACCCGATTACCTAATTATCGGGTTACTATGATTGTGTTAGAGTGTTAGGTACTTGCAGCCTTGGGGTTCCAGCACCTTTGTGCTCGGAGGCCTTCGATCGTGCCATGCAAGACGCGGAGAAGAAGGCTCAACACAAGTCGGAAGTTCTGCAAAGCGAGACACATGTGGCATCCTCGCAGGTTGCATGGCATCTCCAAATGGGGGGTTTCCGAAAATTAGGGGTACCTTGTTCTGGGGTCCTTATAATATAAGGGTCCTACTACTTAGGGTACTATATTAGAGGGTCCCCTATTTTCGGAAATTCCCAAATAAAGTCGAGGTTCCTTGTGGATCGAAAGTGGTGCTTCTGCATCAGGTTGGACTCGCCATCCAGCACTCCGTGTTGCACGGCGCGTAGCAATGAAGTGACAAGCGCCCCTCAGAGAAAGGGAGTCCAACCACACATGCTTCAAGGTTCCTTAGTAACTGAGTGGATACACTTTACACTTGTTGGGTTAATATTACCCACTATAAAACTGAAAGTGTACACTTGTTGGGGCTTACGAACTCAGCGACTAAGGTTCTGGACGAGGGTTGCAGTGCACGATCTTCAGTATGTGGATTGTGCTCCCTTTCACAGATAGCGATGCCCTGCCCAAGACGAGCCTGCGTCCCAGAACCCCAAAAGGAGACGCCGCAAAACTCGCTTCGTTTTCCTTTCCAAGAGGCTCCAAAGTACCTGTATAGTAGAAATAGTAGAATGCAGGGTTTCTACACAGTACCTAGGACCCTTTGGGTTTTGCGCATTCCGAAATTATTTGACTCAAGTCTCTGCGGTCGCAGTGGTTATAACCTGCCTCGGGGCAAGATCTTATGCTGCTATCTGCTCGTTGTGTTTGAATCATTGAAGGTTGGGATTACAAAGCAGTGGAACTAAACCCTAAACCCAGCCGCACGAACTTACAGCCCACCCGAACCGAAGGGAAAAGCAGGACCTCGTGTCTTCATGGTATGGCACCCTTATATACAAAGGCGCCAAAAAAGCATCCTATCTCAAGCGCTACCCATATTCACGAAACCTAAGCCTTATAGAGTAGAAGCCAGAAAGTTGGAACATTAGACTCCTCATGCCCTTAAGGCAAAATATAAAGGATCCTAGCACTAATCCTCCTAAAGCCATGTTCCAACTTTCTGGCTTCTACTGTACTTGGAGGCCCTTTTGACTTAGTAAGTAGGGTTAGTAAGGTGGGTTATAGGGATTATAATGGGGTTTCTAGGGGATACTAAGTAGACTTACTAAGTCAAAAGGGCCTCCAAGTAACCCTTAGCCATGAAACCCTCAACCAAGGCCCCGTATCGGTTATCGGTCTGATCTTATTAATTGGGAGTTTCCGAAAATAGGGGACCCTACTATAGTACCCTAAATAGAAGGATCCTTATTATAAGGGCCCCAAAATAAGGTATCCCATATTTGTGGAAACTCCCAATTCGAATCTGTTGCCCATGAGCACACCCGACGTCGTCAGACTTGAACACAGCCCGATCCGATCCCCGAAGCCCTGCACCCGAAAGCCTCAATCCTAAAACCCCTAAACCCTAAAACCCTAAACCCTAAGACCCTTAAACCCTACAGCCCTAAACCGTAAACCCCTAAAGCCCGAAACCCCCAAACCCTAAGACCCTTAAACCCTAGAGCCCTCTCGCTCCGGTGGCTCAAAGAGAGGGGTTGGGGCGCCTTGCCCTAGGAGTGCCACCACGGGGCCGCCGAAGTCTTAGTACTTCAGTAAGGGTTCCTTTAAAGGGCTCTATAGGGGTAGTATAGGGTTTATAGGGTTTAGGGTTCAGGGACTTAGTACGTAGGTAGTAAGTAGACTTGTAAGTACCCTAAAAGGGACCGCGATTGGGTTTATGGTACTTATAAGTCCCTAATATAACCAGTTACTGAGTCCCCCGACCCTCCAAGTAGGGACCCAAACAGGACGTAAGCATAAGCATCTTATGGGGATGTCCCTACCTTATTGGGCTTCATTATAAGGGGTGTTATATGGGATATCCCATCCTAATTTTGGCTTATGTGCTTTTTTGGGGGCCCTATTCAGGGGTCAGAGGACAGATAAGCGATATCATAGTATGTAGTATGGTATAGCCTATGACAGAACATATTATCGTATAGTACACAAATGATATGTAATATAATATATGCTGTATAAAGATATGTGATACGGTATAATAAGTACTATCGCATAGTATGGTATAGTATAGTGTAGTTGTGTAGTTTACTATAAAGTGAAATAAAGTATAATGTCGTGTGGTGTGATTGGGCTTGAGACAAGGGCTCCAAAGAGCTATGCATAGGGCGTTGTCTGCTTTTGTACCAGAGTTCCCAAATAGCGCAGGGGGCAAAAGGGGGTTTCGTACGCTTGGAAGAACGGCTTCCGATGTGACCAAGCCATACAAGAGAATCCCCAAAAAATGATGAACCCCTAAAAACCCTAAACCCTAAACGCCTAAACCCTAAACCCCAAGCCCTAAACCCCCAAATAAGCCCTTAACCCCTAAAACCCGCAACCCTCAACGCCCAAAGCCCAAAAGTAGACCCTCAACCCAATCCCCTGATTAAACCCTGAACCCCTAAAGCCCACAACCCAAAGACAAGAGGTCGGGCAGATCTCCGGCAGCATGGGGGAGCAGGCCAGGGCTGATATGCCACGGAGAAGACCTCAAAGCAGCACTGTTATGCACAATTCTCATAGAGCTTTGCATTAAATGTTTCAATATTTTACATGTTTTATGGAGCTTGGAATATCGAACCTACCTGCATCTAATGATATTTCGTCATTGCTTGGCGGTCCCGAAATCGCCTTGGCTGCCCAAACAACTTGAATGTAGACCCCAAACCCTAAACCCTATAGATCCCTTTAAGGAACCCCTATAGATCCCTTTAAGGAGCCCTTTAAGGGTCTCGATTTCTCCTTCGCTGCCAGATCAACCTGAATGCTGCCTCCACATTTCGGGCGCGCGGGGCCTGTGTGGAGCATCGGGGAAGCTGGACCCAGACCTTCCAAAATCCCTTAATTAAGGAATAGACCCTAATTCATATTAGGGATCCTATTATAATTTAAGATATATGTCTTAATTAAGGGATTTTGGAAGGTCTGGGGAGGTTTGCGTTACCTTGGGTACTGCCCCCAGTCAGTAACAGTTGGATAATCTTCATAATGTAGATATATTAGGACCGTAATAGTAGCCCTATTATAGACTGTTACTGTATGGGGGCAGTACCCAACCTGAACCCTCAAACTGGCCCAAACCTTCAGGGTTGCGGCTTTAGGGTTTAGGCTCCATACGGTTGATGATATAAATCCTGCATTACCTTAAGGCCCTAAACTATGGGAATTATGGTATATTCCTTATAATGGGTCATGCAGGATTTATATCATCAACCGTATCAAAGGTTTCGAGCCTCTGCGGGTTGGGTTCGTGTGGAGTCGTGCTTAGACACTCTCTCTCACAGTCGCCGTCCATGGCAGTGGTGACTTATTTTGGGGTTGCTGCCGGCTTTAGGGATTGTGTCGCCAGGCGATTTTCTGCAAAGCTTGGCAGAGTTGTGCAGTCTCTCCGCACCAAAGGAACTCCCTAACCACCTCGACGCAAGACCCCGAACCCCTAAAACCTGAAGCCCGAAAGACCTCAAAGCCTAAACCAACAAACCTCCAAAATCCCCTAAAGCCCCAAAGCCATAAAACACAAAAACCCCAGAACCCTAAAGCCCTAACAAAAAGATCCAAACCCCTCCTGAAACCCTGTAGCCCTGAAGCCCTAAAACCCTCAAACCCCCTGAAGCCCTAAGGCTCTAAAAGACCCTCAACCCCTAAAACCCTGAGACCCTGTAGCTCGAAGCCCCTTAAAAGCTTCTTCTACAGCGATCCCGGGCACTCCTTTGCCAGTCTCCGCCGAAGTATTCCTTCACGCACTCCCCGGTGCTCAGCCAGAGCCCCAAAACGTTTTTTGGAGTTTTGGGTTTCAGGTCTCTGAACCTGCCAATCAAAGGGGAAAAGGAGGGACGCTCAACGGGGACCCGTACCCGCCCTACCCTATAATGGGCTAAAAAATGGGTATATAATAGCCATATTAAGGGTATATACCTAGGCGTCCTTATTGAGGGTCCCTCCTTTTACCCTTGGAGCCAACGTGCCTCTTGAGGTTGCTTACTCTCATAAGCCTGAGAGTCTGGGTTCAGGGCGTTTCAGGGTTTGGGGTTACGGCAGTATGACTCCGCATGGTCTGAAGATGTTGTTTTTTTTTTTTTTTTTTTCCTGCATTCCCCATAGAGACCACGTTAAGAAGTTCAACGAACCGTAAAGTGTAAGTCCTAATGTAGGAACCCGATTAAGACACCCCGGGCCTATAACTAAAGGAATCATATAAGGAACCCTAATAAAGGCCCACGGTTTCCTAATCAGGTTCCTACAGTACGGGATTTAGGGTTCAAGTTGCAGGGAGCTTGAAGTCTACAGCCGAAACCAATGTCCTAGGTTCCAAGTCCAGAATCGTATCCGCGGTATGAACCGAAACTTTAGATACTTTAAGCCGCAAGCCCTAGAAAACTAACCCTTATGATTGTAAAAACTGAACGCTATATCAAGCCTTGTTCATGAACAACTATTTGTCTCTATATCTATATCCGTATCTGTATCTATACCTACTTATATCTATATCTGTACATGCATACAAACATACGTGCATCGTCATGCACATATATGTGTGTGCTTATGCATCTATGCATGCATCTATGCACCTCTATGTATCGATGTACTTTTGTTTGTATCTACAGATAAAGCAAGTCAATGTGTGTATACATATTTCCACATAGATACATACATAATATATACATATATATAGAGAGAGATAACATATATATATATATATAATACATAGATATAACATGTATATATATACACATGTATGTATATGTACATGTATATGTACATGTATAGATGCATGTGTGCATAAGCCCCAAACCGCTCGCGAGGCAAGGACAAGCCCTCCAAGGACCCGGGGCCAGGGCCCGGCTCCCAGGAGCTCAGATCAGACAGCTTCCTTTCTTTTTTTGTTTTGGGTTTAGGTTTAAGGGTTCTTTTAAAGGGCTCCTTAAAGGGCTTTAGGGTTCAGGGTTTAGGGTTTTAGGGTTTAGGGTTTTAGGGTTTAGGTTTTAGGGTTTTAGGGTCTAGGGTTTAGCTCTCAGATCAGACAGCTTCCCTGAAGAGGGTCCTTTAAAAAAGGGTTTAGGTTTAAGGGTTCTTTTAAAGGGCTCCTTAAAAGGGGAGTTTCGGGTTTGAAGGGCTTCTTTAGGGGTTTCTATGGATCAGAGAGCTTCCTTGAAGAGGGTCCTTTAAGAGGTTTAGGGTTCCCTTAAAG